GCTTTTCTCTCTCTCCTCCAGAAAGAATGTATAAAGTGACTGGTTTTTTTTTTATTTTTTTTTAAGATTTTATTTATTTATTTGAGAGAGAGAGACTGAGAGAGAGAGCACATGAGAGGGGGGAGGGTCAGAGGGAGAAGCAGACCCCCCGCTGAGCAGGGAGCCCGATGCGGGACTCGATCCAGGGACTCCAGGATCATGACCTGAGCCGAAGGCAGTCGCCCAACCAACTGAGCCACCCAGGCGCCCTGTTTTTTTTTTTTTTTAATGACAAAACCTTATGTATTTAATAGCCCTTTGTCAGACTGTACTTCATACTGTTTAATCACTGTTCCAATGAGCCAATTTAAAATAACTACATTAAGCCTAAAAAAGTTACATTTGGAAGGAAAAAATTAACAGAAGGGAAGCTAATGTCATCACTTAGTGATCATTACAACCTCCCTCTCACACCTCCCAGCCTCTGTTGGTGGCATTTGGGCAAATTGCCACCCCCCTGTCCTGCCTCTCTGGCCTCTGGAAGCCGTGCTCTGTGGTACTTAACCACTCACCAGGCCCCTAATAAGCCACATGCTCCCAAGGCCTTGTCTTCGCACATGCCACCTGGAAATCCTTTCTCATAATTCTCTTCCTGCCAAAAGTGATCTTTCTCCTTGATATTTTGTTATCTTGGTAGCACACGGTTGGACTTTATCAGTGCCTCACAATCTTAAATAAGTAGCATTCAGAAGAAACACTCCGGCCCGTTGGCCCAGATCAGCTCTCAGAGGTCTAAATGCTCAGAACCAAATGTGTGATACTCTGATGGGTTTAGTTTCTGGTTGTCAGTCTTCATACTTGTGTGAGCCTCCCTGCCAAACCCCGCTCCAATTTCCCTTCACGTTCCTCCTTTCTGAGAAGAAACAACATTTTCCAGGACGGAGCTTGAGGGAGGCAGGGGGGCGCAGCCTGTCTCCATAGTAGGGCGGCAGCCACACTCAGGGCCCATGGTGCCAACCCGGGTGTGCCCCACATCCATGACTTGGCCCCACTTCTCATCAGAATTGGGGGGGTGGCAACCCCTCTGGAGGCCCTGCATAGATGAGGGGTGGCCTGCACGGAGTTGGAGGTCTGGGAAGTTCTGAGAAGAGCGGGAGGCCTGAGAGAACCTCAAGGACAAGTCCCTCTCAGTTCCCGCCTGGAATGGCAGAACTTCCCAACTTCCTGATTAGGAACAACACTCGTGTGAGAGCAACGGCCCAGGCTAGAGACCAGATGGAGAGTAGAGGGGCTTGAATGGGGACCCCCACAAAGAGATGTCCATGTCTTAACTCCCACACCTGTGAATTTGACGTTCTTTGGAATAACGGTCTTTGCAGATGTCATTGAACTAAGGTTCTTGAAATGAGACATCCTGGATTATCCAGAGGAGCCCTAAATCCAATGACAAGTGTCCTTATGAGAAATAGATGAGGACGAGACACAGGAAGAAAGAGACGGCCACGTGAAGACAGACGCCGAGACTGGAGTGATGCCACCACGTGCTAACGACCGCCTGGGGCCCCTGGAAGCTGGGAGAGGCAACGTCGGTCCGCCCCTGGAGCCTATTGAAGGAGCGTGGTCCTGCTGACAACCTGATTTTGGACAATGGAATACATTTCTTTTGTTCCCAGCCACCAAGCTTGTGCAACTTGTTACAGCAGCCCCAGGAAACTAACACAGAGGGTGTCACTGAGAATCAGACCTTAGCAGGAGCTACGGGAGCTGAGATGGTGATCAATTCACCAGAGGCCCCCAAACAAGCACCATCGCTGCCCCGGATGGGGCCAGAGGACAGGCCCCATGGCCACAGTGGACCAGACGCTGATGATAAGCATGCCCTTGACCCTAGGCCAGCAAAAGGAGCATTTATTCAAATGTAACTGAGTTTTAAAGGACTGAATTGAATCAATATAGCAAGATTCAGTTTTCAGCCAGCAAAACAAATGGAGAGTTTATGGACTAAATTAAATTCATGTGTAGAAATATCAAGAAAACTATTTTAGTTTCTCCTATCTAAATTTATGTCTGTATATTTTCATACAGGCTGTACCACACCACAGGGTTGTCAGAAGAAGATTAAATGAAAAAAAGGGATAGCTTCAATTCATTGAGCTATTGTTGTTATTATCTGTAATATTTCACAGACAAGGGCCTCAAAACTCAGTGTCTGGTGGCTAACTGAGGTCTCCCACCACGGTGCTCCTTCCGCCCGGCCGCCAACCTACAGCGGCTCAATTTGATTGTGAACTTCATAGCAGTGAGCCCAATGTCGTATTTGTGTTCCTGACCAGGCAGTGTCTGACACATTGATGGGGCCCAATCCACCGCCTGTTGAATTTAATCGAAGAACGTAACCTCTCTGTCCTTAAGTAGCCTGCCATCTGTCTGGTGTTGGGAAAATAATTAAAAATAAAATATCCTGCCAACCCAGAAAACCTCTCCCCACCAAGGTAGATGAGAAAGAAAACAGTTTTATGATCGAATCAGCACCAGTCCAGACTGCAGCGGGCACCACAGGCAACCCACTAAGGAGAACTCAAAGACAAAGCAGTCTCACCTTGTATATGTATAGCCCATTACATCTGTGTCCTCCAGATGAAAATAACCAGGCCTCACATAAGAAGACATGACAACACCATTTGTAGAGTTCCCCCTAAACTCACCTGGTAATTTGGGCGGCCATCTGTGGTAGCTAATTACCTTTATCCAGAAGAAAAAGAAAACGGATTCCTTCAAGACAAGTAGGTAGTTTTGCAACATGACACCGGGTGGCTAAGTGATACTCCCCCTACCCCCCACCCCCCGCCCCATGAAAAGGGAAAAGGGGAAATAGATAGGGTGCTGTCTGCCTGATGTTTACGTGTCAAAGAGGTTGCCCCCCTCCCAAGGAAACCATTCCTGGGTTGTAAACTAAGTGAGACTTATTTTGCTTTTAATATGATATATATACATCTCAAAGGGGCAGGGGAAGAATTTCCAGAAGACAAGTTTTCTGAAGGATATGCTCTAAGAAAAGGGAAGAGAACTGTCACTTTCCCTCTTATCATCAGGGAATTTTTTTTTTCTTTTTAGATTTGTGTTTACCCTTTACTGGTAAGATAGGAAAACTGGTTAAATTAGGACTGAGGAGTGCCTGGTCAAGTACCCGATGAGTGATGGAAATGCTGTACCCCTCCACAGACACTGCTGTTGATCAGAATATCATGGTCATGCAAGGGGCCTAAACTTAAAGGGGACTCTGAAAGGTCCTGTTGAGAATAATATCTGGTTAGAGGAAGGCTGAATATATCTGTGCCTAGATGTCCATGGTGTGGCAGACATGGTGACATCAGTAAACATCTGTCATCTAGACCATTCTGCATCTTCTTTAAGTTCTGGTAGGATCCCAACGGACATGGCTTTTAAACAGAAGGGTATTGGCACTTGTCCCAAGGCAAGCATATACTGTCAAAATTTAATAATATCTGGAGGCTCTTTTTCCCCTTGTTATATACTCATTGAACGTGGAAAAGAGCTAGCCATTAACTTTTGCATAATAAATCTCTCTGGTACTTAAAAGTCATGACTAAATTGCCCTAACTTTCTTACCTCCATGCTTAGCCATCTAATATTAACAAATGGGAATAATTTCTTAAGAGGGAAATTGAAAGGAGGAACATTAATTAGGAATGAAAATGATTTATCAAATGAATGTGGAACTTTAGAGAATTCAAACTTGAAAAAGGACTAAAAATTAAATATTTTTTAAAATTCTACTTTTTTGTTGCTTTCTCTCTTTTACCTTATTTACCCATTCCAAAAAAAGCATATGCCTTTTTTTCTTTAATTTGTGAAATGTGGTGAAATACCAAGAAAAGGGGGAAGTCAGTTTTCCACAAAGGCAGGCACCGTTAACATTTCTAAAGTACCTCCTTCTAGCATTCACTCTATTGTTCTTTTTTGTACTTCCTTGCACTTCTACCCTGTACACTCTTATTTAATATTGTAATGTGAGCATTTTTTCAATACTATTAAAATTCATGAGTGCATTCTTTATCTAGCTGTATAACAAATTATGGACAATAAGAGCTTACAAGGATAAACATTTATTTCTCACATATTTTCTGCAGGTCAGGAATCTGGGACAGGCTGAGCTGGATGTTTCTAGCTCAGAATGTCTCATGAGTTTGCAGTCAAAATGTTGGTGGGGCTGCAGTCAACTGAAGGCTTGACTAGGGCAGGAGGATCTTGTGAGATGGATCACTTATAGGGCGGGAGGCCTTGGTTCATCACTACATGGACCTCTCCATAGGGCCATTTGAGTGTCCTCATGACATGGCACCTGGCTTCCACCAGAGTGGGTGATCCAAGAGAGAGCAAGCTGAAAGCCACAGTGTCTTTATCACCTAGCCTCGTAAGTCACCCACAATCATTTCCGTAACCTATTGCACAGACCAGCCATATTCAACTTGGGAGGAGGCTCACAAGAGTGTGAACACCAGGGGACCCTCTTGGAGACTAGCTACCACAATGGGAAATTGTAATGGCTGCGTGAATTTTATAATAGAGATCTGCATAACTGTATTACCTATTTATGTAAGGTTAGATACTATTTCTTGTATTTCATTATTACAAATAACTATCAAGCACCTTTGTATATAAAGCTTTTTAATACTCCAAATGATTTTCTTTGGATATAGTCTCAGAAGTGGGACTGTTAAGTTATAAAAACTTTTTTCTTAATTTCCATTTAAATCAGTTTCATAGAGCAAATTAATATTTTGTATTGTTTATTTCAGTTAACATATGCATTTCCTTTAACATATTTGTGATAAATACCTTAAATTCCCTGTGCAGTGCTTCACAACTACATGTTCATTTTTCATTTAATGCGTTCTATGTAGTATATATTTTTAGGTAGATATTCTATATCATATATATATAATATTTTGATACTTACGGCATGTGGGTTTTTTCATTGTTATTTAACCATTTTATAGATCCTCCTGAGTTTGTTTGTTGCTGTTATTTTGGACAACTTAGAACTTGATGAAGATCTAAAGAAGCTTAAACAAGTAAGTAATATGTGGGGAATTCTTCAAGTCTGCATTTAAAAAAAATAAGGGTAAAACATGTGCTTACAGATACTGTTAAAAGAGAGCTTCAAAGTAAAAAACTAGATTTTAATAAGGCAGTCTAAGTTGGCAAAATTTTCTTTTGTTTAATTTTTCTCCATTATCAACAGGGAAAGTTTTTTATTGCTCTATAATTATCCTAGGAATATTTTCATATTACTATTTTGAGTAAAAGTAAGATGGACATACTACAGGAAATTGGATTGGCCACTCTTCTCCTTCTGCCATTACATGAAGGTTGTTTGAAAATGAAATGCCTCAGGGCCAGATTGCCATTTTGCATAATTATGTGTAATACTCTTGGCCATCATCATAAAAATATTAAGCATCAACTTGCCTGACCTCTAGACACTAAAAGAGAATTTAGTCTTGGCGCTCATAGTCATTATAAGAAATGGAATAGAATAAATGATCAGCTCTGTGCCCAGTTATATGTGAAAACAGATTGGATATTATAGCATTGATAATCATACCCCAAAAAATGTAAATGAAAATGTGTGAAGGTTATATGACTGATGGCAGAAAGATGACAGGCATGATGGACCATTCTCATAGTTTCTGTTGCATGGAAGATCTTTGGCTTAAATATTTGGCTGAGTTGGTGTGAGAAGAGGACACTGGATAAGATATTCGGTTTTTATTAAAATATAGTTGACATTCAATGTCATATTCGTTTTGGATGTTCTACATAGTGGTTCAACAATTCTATATATTATGCAGTGCTCAACATAAGTGTAGTTACCATCTGTCACCATACAAAGTTATTACAATATTATTGAATATTCTCCATGCTCTACTTTTCATCCTCATGGCTTATTTATTTTATAACTGGAAGTTTGTACCTCTTAATCTCCCTCACCTATTTTCCCTCCCCCCTCTTCCCCAGCAACCATTGGTTGGTTCTCTGTATTTATGAGTCTATTTCTGATTTTTTTGTTTATCTGTTCATTTGTTTTTTAGCTTCCACATATAAGTGAAATTATATGGTGTTTGTCATTCCCTGTCTGACTTATTTCTCTTATCATGATACCCTTTAGCTCCATCCATATTGTCACAAACGGCAAGATCTCATCCTTTTTATGCCTGAGTAATACCCCATTGTATATATATACCACCTCTTCTTTACCCATTCATCTATCTATGGACACTTGGGTTGCTTCCATATTTTAACTATTGTAAGTGCTGCAATAAACATAGGAGCACATATATCCTTTTGAAGTAGTGTTTTTGTTATCTTTGGGTAAATACCCAGTAGTGGAATTACTGGATCATATGGTAATTCTATTGTTAATTTTTTGAGGAACCTCCATATTGTTTTCCACAGTGGCTGCACCAGTTTGCATTCCCACCAACAGTGCACAAGGATTCCTTTTTCTTCACATCCTCACCAACACTTGTTGTTTGTTGTGTTTTTGATTTCAGCCATTCTGACAGGTGTGAGGTGATGTCTCATTGTGGTTTGGATTTGCATGGCCTTGATGATGAGTGATGTTGAGCATCTTTTCATGTGTCTTTTGGCCATCTGGATGTCTTCTTTGGAAAAATGTCTATTCAGTTTCTCTGCCCATTTTTTAACCAGATTGTTTGGTTTTGGGGGGGTGTTGAGTTGTAGAAGTTCTTTATATATTTTGTATTTAACCCCTTATTGGATAGATCATTTGCAAATATCTTCTACCATTCAGTAGGTTACCTTTTCATTTTGTTGATGATTTCCTTTGCCATGCAGAAGCTTTTTAGTTTGGTGTAGTTCCAATAGCTTATGTTTGCTTTTGTTTCCCTTGCCT